CTGTCAGCATTTTGTTGTTCATGTTATCCTGGTTACCCGCAGTATCCATGTGCTATAAAGTTGCCGCAAACATGGAATGAGCGAATACTGAACCATTGTCCCTGGAGGAAATACAGCATTAGGTTCCCATGAGCCTCTGGGCACATTTTTGTCAACCAGCCAATACATAACCTTGTCTTATGTGTGCTTCTATTTAAAGACACCTTATTTAATATATACTGTTGATTCATTAACATTGAACTCGAGGCCAACAGCACTATAAGTCATGCCTGAATGAAGCTTGTATAGAAGGTACATCCCAGCCTTCTCACGCTTAGGAACAGGAGAGAGCACTTCAGCCCTACGCTTGGGGGCCATGTGGATTCACAAAATCACCAACAAAAAGCACAAAAAAGAGAAAAATGTGGCATTAAACACACCAAAGAAAGGACACTTATTTATGCGCTGAGACAGGAAGGCGGAGTGTCGCCTCAGCTGGGAACGTGCACATTGGGAGACAAGTTTTCTGCACCTCTGTGCACATCTGTGAATGACTGCAAAAGTACTACAAGCACTGATTTGGGGGTTACAAATAAATTTAAGCTAGTATGTGAAATCACAAATTCAGAATCCATGAATAACGATTATCAACTGCATTAGCTAGAAAGTGTAAAGGCTCTGTCTGACCCGTGCTCCAGCCCCACCTGACCACTGCAGAGTCCCCTGGCCCCTGCCATCTCCTCCAGGGCCTCTGCATGTGCTGTGACCCAACCCCCAGAAGCAGTCCCCCACTCTTCACCTGGCCCTCCCCACTGCAGGTGCCTCCTCCAGGAATCCCTGTCCAGCTCACAGGTCTCCCCCATTGCTCTGTGCCTTCCCCATCCCAGCCCCGGTCACGGAACAGTGGGTTGGAGGGTGCGCCACGTCCTACGTGAAGTGCCTGATGAACACTAGAAGATTAACTCCTGTGATGTAAGTGTGGTCATTATTCCCATTTTACAAACAGGGAAACGGAGGCCCACACAGGTGCTGGAACTCATCAAGTCACACAGCCAGTAAGTTGCAAAGGTGGGATTCGAACCCTCATTCTGGCTCCAGAGTTGATTGCTTAACTCTTACCCAGACTGTGGATGCCAGCCAGAAGGGCAGGCACCTTCTCTGTCTCCATTTCACCATCGCCCCAGAGCCCAGCTCCAAGCCCCGCCCACAGAGGGAGCTCACAAAATGTTCAGGGGTGTGTTGAGAGTCTTACCTTTGCCTTTAAGCTTCTCCAGGGCTTGGGGCCGGCCCCCCACCAAAGCCAAGAACTCAGCCTCCAGCTCCTGATCGTTAACTCCATCCTCAGGGATCATCAGGCCGTCTGGGGAGAGGTCAACTAGCAGGCCCAGCTGTGGGAACAATGGGGGTTCAGTCAGACCTTGGGATGCACCCCAGCTAGCTAGAGGCAGCCATGATGGACCTGGAGTCCCCTTGGAAGGAAGGGAACCCAGAGCTGGGGAAAGTCATTTCCCTGGGGAGTGCCAGGAGGCCAGAATAGGCCCCAGAATACAACAGATGTCCCAAGGTGGGCAGGTCCTCTGGCACAGATCAACATGGGGCAAAGGGCAGCTAGAGAGACCCAACTGCCCGCTCTAAGCCCACACCCATGATGTGCTGCTAGCCAAGGCCAGTGCGGAAGGAAGGCCCCACACCCTGCCCCACAGCAAAGCCACTCTGCACACCTTGGTTCTTCCTTTCCAGCATGTTTGGCAGAGCGAGCCATGAAGGAAGGCTGGAGGCATCAAGAGCAAATAGAAGCCCAGACAACGTAGAAGTTGGAATTGGGGGCTTTGCTGTGTAACATACCTGTCTTCCTATCCTATCCTGGTTAATGACCAACCATGATGTGATAATATCATGTTGAAGTACACAAAATTACCCCCCTTTCTTTGGATCAAAAATGGCCAAATATTGGTAATCATATATGTCTCCATCTAATAGTAATAATGATGATGACAACACTTATTGAGTGCTGTGTTCTAGCACTTTCCATAAACTATCTCAATGAATTTTTGCAACTATCCTGTGACATAAGGACTCTTAGGGGCTCCATTTTACAGATGAGGAAACTGAGGCTTAGAGTGGTGAAGCCAAGTGTCCAACGTGTAGAATCCAGGAGGGAACTTCAGGTCACTCAGACTGTAATACCTGGGCACTAAGTTATGGCCTGAGCTCCTTCCATCAAAGCTGAGAAAAATCAAACTCTCCCAGTGCCTGGGGTAAAGGCAATGAGGGAGGGAGAAGGGGCCCAACCACAGTTCTGTGGGCTCATGGCAGCAGCTCTGGATTTGTGCTTAGCTCTGGCCAAGCATTTAATCCTTATGACCTTGGGCAGGTGTCTTCACTTCTCTGGGTCTCAGTGTCCTCATCTGTACAATGGGGATAAAAGAGTCTGACCTGGCCAGGCTGATGAGAGGGTTCCACGAGTGCTCAGGCCAGGAGACCCATAACTGTCTTTCTTACTCCAGGTCTGAGGCCTTCCCCTCCCGGACTGGAGCTGCTGCAGCAACAGGTGGCCCTGAGCGCTGGGAGGGGCGCCAGAAGCTGGGGAGCCGGGGCCAATAGGCCGCACTTTGGGGGTCGGACCTAACCAGGGGGGCGGGGACCAGGGCTCACCTGGGGTGGAGATCTGGCTCCCTTGGGGGTGGGGCCCTCCCTTGAATGTGTGACAAGGGTGGGAAGGGTCCCCTGGGCCGGGCCGTGGGGTACAGACTTACCTGGCGGGCGGTGGCGGCTCCTCGGCCCGGGGGTCCCGGGGGTCCCTTCCTCTTGTGCATCTTCCAGGCTGGATACTCGGACCCCTGGCCTGGCCTCCCCCGGGGCCTATGGCCGCGCACTAGCCCTTCCTGAATCCCACGCCCCTCGTTGGCGCCCCGCAACCGCCAACCTCGCGCCCTCGGCCTCCCGGGTAGCCGCCCCACTTCCGCCTCGGCCCTTGGGCTCCGCGGAACCCGAGCGCAGCCACCGGACTTGCAGGGCCCGCCGCACTGAAACTACAATTCCCGGCAGGCAGTGCGCGAGCGCGCAGGCGCGCTGCGGAGCGATGGGTGGTGCCGCGGGCTGCGCGGGAAAGAGGCGGAGCGTGCGCAAGTGCGAGGGGGCGGTGTTGGCAACGCGCGTGCGCGCGACGAGGCCTCGAAGTGTGAGG